CCCCAAAACCCCAAAACCCCAAAACCCCAAAACCCCAAAACCCCAAAACCCCAAAACCCCAAAACCCCTGACTATGCGAATTGTGTTGAGCTCAATCTTACGATTCTAAACTTATATAATATTGCTAGTATAAAATGATGATGAGGTTTTGTTCTTATCTGATGAGGAGAAAATCTATGCAATTCATAATGATCTCATCCTTAGAACGCATGGAAATACGAATTAAGGAAGGGAAGCATAAATTGCTTAATGATTAATATCTAAATAATAAAGAAGAGATGAGATATTAAACGTATTTCATTGAAAGAAATCCTCAGATATTTAAAACAGAACTAATCAGAGCTAATATCTAGAAAATTGGAGAGTTTGAGCAAAATTTAGATAAATTATGCAATTTAGAAGGTTGGGACTGAAGCAGCTTCGGCAACACCACAGGTGTTCTTGTTAAGAGCGAGTCTGATGTGTCCGCTTTCTCCCCAGCTCTTTCCCCATGAGTTTCTAATCTTCAAAGATTCTTCGTCGAAGTTGACACCAACAAGGGTGACTCCGTGGTTGAGGCTGTCTCTGCAGTTGGAGAAGATTCCCTTTCTGTAGAATTGCCATCTGGAAGCATCAACAGCAACGGCGACTGGTCCGTTCATGAGTTCATCAACGAGAGCTTGTTCGTCCTTCTCAGCAACATCAGTGAATCCAGCGTCATTTGGTCCACCGGCACACTTGGTAACCTTACAGGTTTCATCTCTGGCAGTGTATGGGTATTGTTGTTCAGTACAGAAGGCTTGGTCGACAAGATATTCGAAAGCGAAGTCCATTAATCCACCTTCACATCCATCTGATTGAGGTTCACAGTCAACGAGTTCTTGTTCAGAGTACAAAGCATCAGTGTTGGTCTGTCCGTGAGCGAGTTCGTATCTGGCTTCGAAGGTAGCGGCAGCAGAGAAGGCCCAGCATGATCCACAAGCACCTTGGTTCTTGACGGACTCCCACATTCCGCTCCAGTCCTTGTTGTCTCCCTCAAGAGCTTTAACATGGGTGGCAGTGGATTTCTTGGTTCCGACTGGTTGCTTGAATCCGAATCTGACGGCAAATTCTTCTGGGGTCTGGTCAGCAAATTCGTTGATGGCGAATTCAACACCCTGGTCCTCAGCGTTCATCTGAGCAATGGATTCCAAGTTGGACTTGAAGACACCGAGTCTGTAGTTGTACTCTTCGGTGGTTCCGTAGTTCTGACCGTAAGTGGCGAGGAACTCTTGGAATTTGGTCTCAACACCAGAATCAACTGATGGGGCCATTGAGTAGAGAGCAAGGGATGCAACTCCAACTAAAGCAATGATAGCGAAAGTCTTCATTTCTAAAATAAAGTATAATAATCTATTAAATTTCAGCCTATTTATCTGCAAAAGGGGTTTTGGGGTTTTGGGGTTTTGGGGTTTTGGGGTTTTGGGGTTTT